ACCCAGTGCCTAACTCACAGCACCACCAGGTCCTTTTCTTATAGATGGAATGTTGTTGTTGTTAAGTGTCGTTGAGTCGATTCCAACCCTTGGTGACCCCGTATAGGGTTTCCAAGAAGCAGCTGGTGAGCTTGAACTGCCAACCTTGCCATTCAAATGGCTTTGCAGTCCGGTGCATTAACCCACAGCGCCAAACAGGGATCATAAAATGACTACTATTGTCTAAAGTCCTACATGAATTATAATTTAGAGGTTGGTTAGTTAAAAACAACCAAACAAACAAATGCCTACCTGTGGTCCACTTCTAGAAACGAGGAAGCTTTAAAAAGCTTAATTTTATTTTCTACAGTGGCTTTTTTCAGTAATGATGGCCAGTGTATTTGCAAATGTAATAGAAAATTCCGTTCTTGTGTTCTGTGAATATGAGGAAATGTTGTTAGGTACCATTGAGTCCATTCTGACTCATAGTGACCCTATGTACAACAGAACAAAACACTGCCCAGTCCTGTGCCATCCTCACAATTATTATGTTTCAGCCATTATTGTTATGACTATATCAGTCCAGCACGTTCAGGGGCTTCCCCATGTTTGTTGACCCTGCACTTTACCAAACATGACATCATCTTCCACAGACTGGCCCTCCCTAACAACATGTTCAAAGTACAAGAGAGAAAGTCTCACCATCCTGGCTTATAAGAAGCATTCTTGTTGTACTTCATAGTACAACATAGATTTATTTATTCTTCTGGCAGTCCGTGGTAGTCTAATATTCTTCACTAAACCATACACAATTCAAATGCATCAATTCTTCATTTTCCAGCTGTCACATGCATATGAGGCAATTGAAAATACCATGGCTTGGATCAGTCATAACTTTGTCCTCAAACTGACATCTTTGCTTTTTAACACTTTAAAGAGGTCTTCTATGGTAGCAATACATTGTTTGAATTATTGATTGCTATGTCTATGAGTGTTGATTATGGATCCAAACACAATGTAGCCTTTAACAATATCAATCTTGTCTCTATTTATCATGATGTTTTTCATTGGGCCAGTTGGGAGGATTTTCATTTTCTTTACATTACAATACCAGGCTATAGTCCTTGATCTTCAAGTACTATAAGAGTAAGTACTTCAAGTCCTCTTTTTTCTAGCAAGCAAGGTTGTCTCATTTGCATATCACAGGTTGTTAATGAGTCTTCCTCCCATCCTGATAACCATGTTCTTGTGCATATAACCCAGTTTCTTGGAGTATTAGCACTGGACTGAATAAGAATGGTGAAAGGATACCACCATGATGTATACCATTCCTGATTTTAAACTATTATTCATGCTCTACATACACAGGTTCCTCATGATCACAATGAAGTGTTCTGGAATTCCCATTCTTCACAATGTTATCCATAGTTTGCTATGATCCACACAGTCAAGTGTCTTTTCATAGTCAATACAGCACAAGTAAATATCTTTCTGGTATTCAGAAGAAAGAAAAAAAAAAGACCTCAACAGATGAATTGACACAGTGGCAGCAATAGTGCGATCAAACATATGAACAAAATGACGCAGGACTGGGCAATGTTTCATTCTGTTGTTCATAGGGTGACTCTGAGTCAGAATTGCCTCTATGGTACCTAACAACAACACCTATTGACGTTAAAGATCAAGAAGATGTTGATTATATATATTCATTATATGCAGTATTCTTTATTATGGAAATATTTGACATTATAAATTCACAATACATTGCAAGTGAAGGCTGTTAGTATTTTAGACACTAGTCACTACTGCGACTACTTTCAATTAATTATCTCATGTAAGACATTATGGGAACACGGACTGTAAGTTTGGTGGTTTGAACCCACCAGTTGCTCCACGAAAGAAAGGTGAAGCTTTCTCCTATAAATATTTAAAGCATTGGAAACCCTATAAATGGTCACTATGAGTCTGAATTGACTTGACAGTATACAACAGTAACAACAGGAAGACATTGAGACAGATTATACATACAACTCACCATTTTGATACTTACAATAACATAAACGAGTTGCACATTTTTTTATTTATTTTCATGTGTGAGACTAGGTATGAAATTTAAGGAGTGTTTCCAAAGACTTTTAAAAAAACTGGTATCATATATTTAAATGATCTCTTACTCCCATCCCATCATTCTTCACCACTCTTATTAATAAAGACATGTTTGGTCTTTTTCCTTTATTAGATTGTAAACTCCATGAGATTAGAGACCGTGTCTCTCTTGTTCATAATTATCTCCAAAGTCTCCAGAAAAGTGTATGGCACAAAGGGAAAATCTAATGCTTAGTAAATACTTGTTGAATTTGTAAACTCCATGTGATTAGAGACCTTGTGTCTCTTGTTCATAATTATCTCCAAAGTCTCCAGAAAAGTGTATGGCACAAAGGAAAAATCTAATGCTTAGTAAGTACTTGTTGAATGAATAGATGATTTAATGCAAACCCAAGTTTTATGCTTTTCTTAGAGTTGATTCCAAGGTTACTGATATTTTGAGGTAATGTAGTTGAGTTCATGTAGTCATCTTAGTGGCTTTGAAACTTCTATGTTCATGTACAACAACAATATTTTCATCTTTATGTGTGTATATCTGAAACAAAATAATGATGAAACAATATTGAACTTTACTATCTGAAACTAACTCTAATAATTAAATTTCAATTCAATTCCCCATTTCATTTATTCATTAAAAAATAATAAATAATGTTGGCTTTGAAACTGATTTCATGACCCATAAATCTGAATTTGTAAACACTCTTTTACACAAAAATGCCAGTAGCGATTAATCAGATTCGTCTTTGAGTATGTCCAGCGTATACATGTATCCTAGTCAGAAATTGGAGAGTATCCTAATATATCAAGTCAATATTTTCCTGAACTACCTATCCTCACCAGTAGCTTCCAGTTCCCCTTACTCTTCCTAGCCAGAGTCTCTAGAGTTGGCAAACATTGAAAGAGACTGAAAACTTTCCCTTCTAGATCTCCTTCCTGACAAGTTAAAATATTATGCACATTTGGGTCAGGATTCAGCCACAAACAAGGTAATATGCTAAAATTATTTTATATAACTTGCAACCTAATCATAGTAAATTATTACTACCTCTGTTTTGTAAGTAAAGAAACAGGATCGGAGAGGTCAAATTATTTGGCCTAAGTGACAACATTAGTAAGTGACATAGTTCAGACATGTGTTGCAAATATAATAACTTAGCACTATAGTATAAGAACTGGACCATTAACTGCAAGGTTGACAGTTCAAACCCACCAGTTGCTCCTTGGAAACCCCATACAGGGTCGCTATGAATTGGAACCAACTTGATGGCATGCAACAACAGCTTGGAAAGATAGCTGCATGATATCCAAATTCCTGGAACTCAGAGACGGTCCCTCTGGGCTGCTGAATTTCTAGACACTAAGAGCAGGGAGGATCCCACAAACCTACAGGCCCACAGCCTCTTTCTATAGACTGTGGAGTTAAAGGAAAAATTATTCTCACTCATTTTTTTAGCTTTGTCCAGTATCCCGGCTCAACCCCATTTTCTCCTCTAGCTTCTACTACTCTGAAAGTGCTAGGATTGGGGCACATAAAACAACCTTGATTTATTGTTACAAAGCACTTTGATCACTTCACCACTTAGGCCCATCACAACATCGCTATAAAATAGGTAAGCACCATTTGCTGTAGAGTCAAGTTTGACTAATGGAGACTCCTATGAGAGAAGCCAAAACTAAAACCAAACCTCTGCTGTGGAGTAGATTCTGACAACCCTACAGAACAGAATAAAACTGTTCCATAGAGTTTCAAAGGCTGTAACTTTTAGGGAAGCTGACTGCAACATCTTTCTTCCTCCTAATATGACTTTTTTTTTTTTTTTTTCTCTTTAATTTGCAGCCAGGAGTCCTGGCGTGGCACTGGAGGATTAGCACTGGACTGCAAACTGCAAGGTCAATGGTTCATATCCACCAGGTATTCTTCAGAAAGCCTATACAGTATTGTTATGTGTTCAAATTGACTTCATGGCACTCAACAAGACAAGAACTTTAACCACTGTACAGCAGGGCTGATCCTCTGAGATACTCATAGAAGAGGGATTTTTTTTTTTTTTTTTTTTTAATCCTCCAGAGACATTAAGCTTGATGAACTAGGAGCACAGCAGCTGAAGCCCAACTGAGAGCTCAGAATTGAGCACCATTTGTGGCGCTGCAGGATAATGCACTGGACCTCAAGGTCCGCTTGAACAACAAGATTAGCGGTTCCAACCCACCAACTGCTCCTCAGAAACCCTAGACATGGCCTCTATGAGACCGTGTAGACTCAGTGATACTTTACAAGTTAATAACATCAACATTGTGAAACACTGATTTGTTGTAAAATACACCATAACACAAAGGCATGCTTTACAGTTTATGGTGGTCACACTAGTCACTTTAGGAGACTTACTGGGATTCTATCCTCTCCCACATCCTCAAGGCTACCATAGTCCCTGCTCCCTTTAGAGTCTAACAGTCAGGGTGAACCCCAGAAAATCTGGGCGACCTTCAAACTGGGCATGCCCAGTGACTGAGCAGTTTTCAGCTTGGCCTGGGCATTTTGTATGCCGCTCCTGTGACTCACGGGAGAGAGCCCTAGTGCGCACATATCAGGGGCCACTGAGGTAGCAGGACGCCACTGCTAAACTAGCCGGCCCCGCCGGACGTCACGACACCCGCCCCCTGCAGCCTGTGGTGCTCCTGCTGGCCACCGGAGGGGGCGAAAAAACGTCAACCTGTTGTTTGTCCCGCCACCATATATTAACTCTCAGCACCACAAGGAAGTGCAGTACCCGCACACACTCAGAAAGTTCAGCGTGCAGGAAGTTTGGGGAGAGCTCCGCGGCGATTAGCACAGCGAGAGTGCAGAGCAGCGTCCGTCCCGGGAGCGGATCCTGGCTTTTCCTTGGAGCGACGTTGCCCCTAGGTCGACGATCCCAATGCACCGGCTCATCCTCATCTACATTCTGGTCTGCGTAAACTTTTGCAGCTATTGGGACACTTTTGCAACTCCGCAGGGCTCATCCGTCAAAGCGTCGCGCGTATCTAACCTCAATGAAGATGGTAAGAGATTGCGATTTTATTTATTTTTTTAAAAAACACCGTTTGTTGTTGCTATTGTTCCTTAAGTTTTCTTTCCTAGGAACGGGGCCTGAATGCATTGTCCAAGGAAAGGGGTCGCGTGCCTGTCCTCTATCCTCAGAGTCTTTTCCTCTGAAATGGGACTGAGGGTGCTGAGGGTGTGGATCTCATGCCCTGTGGGCAGGACAGGTCAGATGGTTAAATCCTTGACCCGAATGAAGTCATTTTGGTGTCCAGTAACCTCTGATACCAGACATGAGGTGTTTCATCCTGGAGTTTCAGAAACTTGCTTGCTGCACCGCCCCTTGGATAGGAACTTAGTCTCTTGGACTTGAAACTCCAGGAAAGATAGGGCATTTGTGATAGGTGAAAGTACTGGAAAGTGGCTTTCTCTGGGTGATTTATTTTATTTTTTGGTGGGGGTGAGAGAGTGATGCATACCAACCCCACTACTGTGTCATACGTGATACTGTTATTTGTGTATTACTTATTTTGAGGAGATGGAGGTATGCAGCATATCGCCCTTTCTGTCCCCAAAGTGACTTTCCCATTGGAGTTCAGTGTGGCTAAGAAAGTGGAGCCTAGGCTTCCAGGGTTTTGTGGGTACTGCAGGGAAACAGACTTCAGCCAGCTGTTAATTTCCTTGCACAGAAGGGTTTCCAACTGTTTGCAAGGAGCAAAGCTCTTGAAATAGCTTTCCTAAGCCAGATCCCAAGCTGCGTGCTTATTTTTCTTCATTTTGGAGGACCCTTGGGTCATTGGATCCCAGAGATCTGGTGGAGTTTATTTGCTTTCTGGGGCCTCCACCAAGCACTCAAGTTGATTTATACAGTTTTCCACCACAGCTGATGATTCCAGAACTTTGCAGCTGTTCCTGCCTCCTACCTGAATTGAAACTTAAAAAAATTTTAAAATTGTTGGTATTTTTAGTTGCTTTTATAGTTGCTGTTGATCAATATCTTTCTTTCCATCATTTTCTCATTGTTCTAAACATGCCTTCGTGGAGAATGCCAAGCCATTGCTAATGGCTTGACTATTTGTGTTAGCCATTTTGACTCTCTTACTTGGAAAACTCATGTTAGCTATCTCATTCCCTTATTAATTTCTCACTAGGTATGTCTTTAATTTGGACTTCATTGAAATACTTAGGATTATGAAGGAAAATATTTTTATTATGTCTTTTGATGACAGATTTGTAGATTTTGAATGTGCTCAAGCCATCTAAAGTGGTGTAGGTGTGGGGGATACAGGGAAGACAACCCTCTTGGCCAGAAGATCCCCTTTATTTATAGAATTATTTTTTCATAGTGCTTTCTTATAACATATTCTAGCAATGCATTTTAATAACTTTCTATCTTAGTTAGATCATGCAATTTTTTTTGGTCAACTTGTAAAAAGGATTTAGGCTCAAGACCAAACTTTTATTAGATTTGTTGCATTCTTTAATGCTTCTGCCAGGAATTGACCTTCTATGAGTTTTTAGGTTTGTTCATCATTCTACTTTGTATACTCTTTTAGCTGCTTCATAGTAAAATACAGTTTATAATTTGCATGACTTCATTATTTTATAACTTTTAGCCTCAAAAGTGTCAGTTACAAGAAGTCAAGGACAGAGAATGAAAAGTTTGTAGCCATTGCTCCTTAACCCAATATTCTGACTAAAACCAAGTCATGCAACGCTTAAAATGGTATTTTTATTTTTAAAAAACAGTGATACCAAAGTAACAAAATATTTTCATTTTATGATTTTTATTGTTAGCATTTTGTATACATGCCTACCATGTGATAATCTTTTATTTTATCACCATATTCAAAGCTACCCTGGATTTCTTATGTCTTTGAATTTTGGCTAAGCATGTTTTGCAACTCCTCTTTCAGTTACACATGTACTGAACATTTTGATTAGTTCAGGTTGCTCAATGTGTTTCTTGATGTCAACTGGATTTTATAAACAATAATGGAACAGGCAAAAGGTATTAAACGGGAAAAATTGTTATATACAGTGTAAAAAGAAAAGTTAACATTAGTAATTAATTGTTAGCTTGGGAATTTTCAAATGACAGTTCTCTGTAGACCATTCTGAAAAAAAGGCATATTTCCCCACAGAGGTGAAAATTGGTTCTGGGGTATGTTTGAAAAAATTTACATATTACAGTAAACTTTGATACTTCAAAGGACAACAGCATATAAACTGTGGTATTAAGATTTAATGTGGGCAGTGGTGGTGTGCCGTGTAGTCAATTCCAACTCATAGCGACCTTGTATAGGGTTTCTGAAGCTGTACATCTTTACAGGATCAGAAAGTCTCATCTTTGTCCCACGAAGCTGCTGGTAAATTCAAACTGCTGACTTTGTGATTAGTTGTTGTTAAGTGCCATTGAGTTGGTTCTGACTCATAGCGAGCCTGTAAAGGGTTTCCAAGGAGCAGCTGGTAAATTTGAACCACACACCTTGTGGTTTAAACCGACTTTGTGGTCCAGTGCTTTATCTCACAGTACCAGTAGCACTGTTCCCCCCCCAATCTGAATTATCTCCTTTAAAAAAGGAGGCAGTGAAAATGAAAAAAGAAAAAGGTTGAGACAAGTTTACTGGTTAGAAAGAGATTGGAGGAACTTGGATCTATGGCCCTCAGCCACCTTTCAAGTCTGAAACAGAACTAATCCTCATGGCCCTATTTTCATTCAAGTGGTATATATGGGGGGCAACAACACTAGTAGGGTATGCTCAACATGGAATGGTCAACTATTCAAGATCAAAAGGGCAACATTTACCTAAGGACAAAGTTCAGAGCAAGGATATGCAATAACTGCGGTTACATGGAGGGGATTGCAGTCATCAAGATGAAACAAAATATGTAATTTGTTCAATGTAAAACTGATGATCTGCTGTGTAAACCTTGATTTTCAACCAGTCATGTTTGTTTCTTTAATAATGGTACTCAATTCACAATATAATTTTCAAAAAAAAAGCTTGAGAAATATTGCCAGAGTTTTGGTAAGAGCATAAGAATAAAGGGGTCTTTGAAAAAGCCCAGACATTGTCTGAAAATGTTTGATGTCAATTGGTGGGCTGACTGAGAAACTGATAACTTGTTCAATTAAATCTTTGTTCATATTGCAAACATTGTTAATGTGTTCTCTTAAACCTTCCAAACAGTATATTGACCAAGACAATATTTTTATTCTTTTAACTATTAGATTAAAATAAGAGATCGCTTGGGGAAGATATGAACATGAGACTATAATTAGGGAGATAATGAAGATAAAAGAGTTTCCAAACATGAATTTGGAACATTTTGAAGATCTGGCACTCAGATTATAAACAGTAGAGAATCACACAACAAGAAAAAATTAGACATAATTTTTAAATAGGATTTATGAAAACCTAGTCCTGGACTGCAAAGTAAGTTTGAACTTCAAGATCGGAAGTTTGTGCTCACCAGCCACTCCTTGGAAACCCTGTACAGGGTAACTATGCTTTGGGGTAGCATAGTGGTTACGAATCAGGCTGCAAACCTTAAGGTCAGCAGTTCGAAACTACCAGCTGCCCCGCGGGAGAAAGATGAGGCTTTCTGCTCCCGTAAAGATTTACAGCCTCAGAAACCCTGTACAGAGTCGCTATGGGTCAGAACTGACTCGACGACACTTAACAACAACAACAACAACAACAGGTCCTGGTGTGGAGTCGTGTTGTGGTGCTACAAGTCAATGTGCTGGATTGCAAGGTTGGTTTGAACTGCAGGGTTGGCAGTTCAAGCTCATCAGCTACTCCTTCCTATACAGGATCACTATGAGTTGGAACCGATTCGATGGCACTTAATAACAAAAACAGTAATAACAGCCCTGGTGTGGATCTGAGGGTTAATGTGTTGGACTGCAAAGTCGGTTTGAACCACAAGGTTGGTGGTTCAAGCTCACCAGCCACTTCTCAGAAACCCTATACGGGGTCGCTATGAGTTGGAACTGACTCAGTGGCACTTAACAACAACAATAACAGCCCTGATATCACTGCAGGATCAGCTCTGGACTGCTAACCTGCAGGGTCTGCTGTTCATACTACCAGAGTCTCAGTGGGAGAAAGATAAGGCTCTCCCATAAAGATTTGCAGGCTTGAATACCCTCAGGAGCAGTTCTACTCTGTTGTATAGGTTCACTAGGAGTTAGAACTGATGCGATGGCAGTGGATTTGATTTAGTGGGTATAAGTGATGATGGAATTATCTTCAATTTGTATATATTCCTTTTTTTTTTTTTTTTGGTGCTGGCCCTGTTAGTTGATGAGAGGCATGCTGCCTAATGTTGGGGTCAAGAAAGAAATAACAAAGGTAGGCCTCTTGTCCAGGGTATGAGATTTTTTTTATCCAGACCCTAAAAAACCTAAAACCCATTGCCTTCATGTAAACTTAGACTGTCTGTGAGCTCATGTACTTCTGAGAAGAACTCTGCTTCATAGGGTGTTCAATGCTTGTACTACTGGGAAAGAATACTGACAGACTTTTTTTTTCCTGTGGCATTTCTGGGTGGATTGGACTGACCAAACTTTGGTTGAGGTGGCAAGTGCAAACCATTATGGCCTTTAGGAACCCTGCCCTGCCTGATTAGGTACAGGTAGACTTAAATGCTTGCTTTAAGTCTACCTGTACCTAATTACTCCAAAAACTCAAGTAGCTAAAACATGAGAAGGAAATAAATAATAGTAGGGTTGCTAAATGATAGTCTCTGTCTACCCATTGTAGGAGATTGGCTCACTCCTGCTTCCTGACCTTCCCAAGCACTCCATCACAATGTATTCTTGTTCTAAATGCATGTGTGCACAACCCTTCCCAGTACCTGCAGTATGAATAAATGTGGCTCAGGGGAGAAGAGTGGTTGAACTTGGTCCCTTTTTCTAGGAATAAATGTGGTTCTACAGCTAAGAAGGATTAAAATATAGTATTTATAATGCTTCTTGTGGTTGTGCTATAAAATCAGTTCTGACTCAGAG